CCAATTTATTATGTCTCAGTTTGTTAATTAACTTTCCGTAACTTCGTTCCGATGAAACTTTAGCGACACAAGTCCTTACTTAATAAAACTGGTTTATTTTTTCCGAATATAACTTCACGATACACTTATTTTCAACAGTCGCTCTTTTACAAACGTTTTAACAACGAAAGTTAACTTCAACAACACGTCTCTCTCTGACTGCAGTTCAATTACTCATTACCTATACACACACTACATTACCGTCACGTTGTCACCCTCTTTTATATACCAGACTACCTATATCTAGTAAATACTAGAGCATTCGCCAAGGTACAGGATAGTTCTAGAAAATAGGTGGCGCTACACCAGTCACGTGACCTCGATGACGCAACAGCACCATAATTGAGGCAGTTTCTATGGCAACACAGTTTGAAATGGTAACTTAAGGGTAATTGTTAGAGAGGGAAAGGCCTACAGCAAAACTGTTGTGGTTACTCCCTCTGATAGAATGGCCTACTCATGCATCTCCACCACATTGGGTTAGACCCAAACTGAGGGTTAACCAACCAACCACAAATCCCAGCACTGCAATGCAGCCAAACTTGTTTCCACTGAGTTGACAGGAATATTTGAGTCTACCTATGGGGTGAATGTCACAGCAATTGCCAATGTTTCTGCCTGTACATCATCCAAGATGGAAAGAGTGGATCATTTACTTCTTGTAGAGCACTGATGGAGGAATGTGCCCATACTTTTCTGAGCAGAAAAAATAACAGAGCTATCAGTTTCAGCCTGTGGCTCAGCAGATGCTAGAAAACATACAATTTCAGCTCTTTGCTAAACAGCAAAGTAAGTAGGATTATTGGTACTAACCATTGGATCAGAAAGTCCAGGATAACCAGAAGAAGCTATGGCAAATGGTCCAGAAACTGGCAGTTATTATTTCTAGAGAACAAAACAGGAGCAAAGGCAACTGGAATAAAGTCAACATAATAGTTTTTCTGGGGCATGTGATATGTTAAAACTGTATAGAATTGGAATAAAGAAATCAAATTTTTACTTTAAGATAATAAGATAGAAAATACATGGTAATCCTGCATATCACACTTTTCCTTCCCTTCTGTTTCAGACTTGTCCTCGAGCCAACAATTACATTTAACTTTAAAACCAATTAACTTTATACTTGCAGGAAGGTCAAGATGTACATAACTTTCTCTTATTCCCATAAGCAATATGGATGACACAACACTTAAACAAAGAGCTACAACTTACAAGTCATAAATCCTTTAACTAAGAGTTATAAACAATACAGAATGAAATAACAAGAAAAAGGAAAACCCTTTACACATCACTAATACATAGAAACGTTTTTAGACAATGAAAATAAATACAGGTAAATCCAGTGAAAATAGTTATTTTACTTAAATTCACATAGCTTGATCCATATTCTGTGTTTAAAAAACCACAACTAGTTCAATATATAAGGGGGAATTATATACATCTGAATAGTACTGGAAACGAGTACAGTGATCTTCATACAGTCTACTTCACAGAGCTTCCATTATTTGTTTAGATACGAGTAATTTTGGAAAAATTTCAGACATTTTGCTTTAGAAAATCACTCAGTAACTTGGAAAACAGGAGTCACAAGGCCCTTTTAGCTGAATTTTCAAACTCCTAATGAATATCATCAGTCACGTAAACTGTTCAGATTCTAGATATTATATCTACCAACAACAGTTGTCATAGCTGTGTGATAATTTACCAGCTATCACTTGATATCCTGTATATAGATATCTCAATGAAACTCTGCTCAATAGTTACAATGAGCAAACCATCCTAACTCTATAATAATCAAGTGAAAATTACACAATGTATTGCATGCATTTCACTGTGAAACATCACTTGGTAGTTTGAAAATAAGAAATGTTAATTTCTTTCAGTCACTGATCTTACAACCAACGGTTGTCCTAAGTGCTGTTACAGCAGTTAATAGTACTCATAAGAATCAAGAGGTCAGCATTTTGACTGTTCACCAGAGCTACCTTGTGCTTCCTCAACTGACTTATCTTAAATAGCCACATAAGTACTTTTAGAATTTTTCTCCTCATTAATAGAACTAAGATGACACAAAACATCACTTTCATAATCCTCTGTAACACACAACCTTAGCTTATCAACATGTTCCATGTGGATAAGTGCACCACATAGCTACTGTAACTTTTATATTAATGGACCAATCCACCAGAATATAAGATAAGGACCTGTCTAGCTAGAGCTGAGCCACTTCTGCATCGCTGGCACATACTCTTGTCTCCATGGTGTAACATGTGTTCCTTAACTGTTATTAGAGCATCTCTTCTGCTAGATAGCACTTTCTTAGCTGTTGACACATAAACTTTAACTTCTTTACATATTATTATTTACACTGTGGCATATCTCCTCCAGGCAGTAGACTATACATCAAATTCACAAGGAGGAATATTTTCAAACCAAACATTAGCATGTTCAGTGAATAAGTTGATCTCTGTTCTGTTGCTTAGTATGTCATTAGACAAATATTCATCCCAATCAGTCTGCAAGGATTAACAAACTTTGCAATAGTTTGTATTGCTCATTATGCTACAAAATCAGAGTGGGAGTGATAAGGTGAAGTGCATGTCTTCAAAACAACCAACATATTGCACAACTCTAAACTGACTGACTATTGAAATTAGCTCCATGATCAGTGTGGATTTCTTTAGGTGTGCCAAATCTGTCTATCCAGTTTTCTATCAACACAACGGCAATGGAGTGTGCTGAAGTACTGACCAATTGATAAGCCTGGATTTACTCAGCAAAATAACTGATAATGACTAGCACATGCTAATTACCTCGTTCACAAGAGGACCAGTGATATTCAAGACTATTCTCCATAAAGAAAAACCAACAATTCTCTGCTGGAGTTCACCCTGTTTAGGCCAGCTTTTCCTCTGGAAAGCACACCCTGTACAATTTTACACAACTGCTTAAGGTATTGCCTTATTTGTGGACAGTAGAACTACAGTTGGACATTATCATAACTGTGTGTAACATCTTGATTAACTCCAGATTCACTGAAAAACTTAGATGTACACATATAAGCATAAGAGTTTGCACCTCCACAGACACATAAGCACCCCTTCTTTCTTGTATATATGGTTCTTGTTTGCATTTATTGGATACTGTAATGTATATATTATTTCATTGTAAGTTATCATCACTGAAGCTTTTATCAGTGTTACTACACACTTGTATATTATCAACAAACTAAAAAGATATTTCAAAACATTTTGGATCCAGGTTGCACATGCAGCTAGAAAGAACATTAGTACAAAAATTCCAGCAATGAGTCTACAATAAAAACAAAAGCTAGTTAAGCAACGTTAATCACAGCAAACATAACAGAAAAAGAAGTTTTTTTTAAGTTTTTAGAATATCTTTCAGCATTTTTATTTGAAGTATTTTAAATTTCTGGTATAATATGGTGTATTCATTGTAATAACAACTGCACCTCAGCTTGTGCTGTGCAAGGGTAAGATTGAATTGCAAGTAGGGACGATTTGGATCACAAAGTGTAATGAAATATCAGACAAATTATTCCCTATATATATATATATATATATATATATATATTGTAAATATCTCATCAGTAATAAGTTCTGATCTGCATTTTCATGTATATACTTGTCAGGATCCCGTTTATATTTGCAGATACATAATTAATGGTATATATTGCATTTATTTAATTAATATGGTCTGCTTTTCTTGTATTTAATACCAAGGTGTTTATTTTGTGTGCCTTATTTTTTTATTATCTTGCCTGTACTTAAATAGTTGAGTTTTGTATTTTTCATTTTGACTTTGTGTTAAAGGGCAATTTCATGATTAATATGTATTTGTGCTCTACTGTTTCACTTCCAATTTTGTTTTATACCTTTTGCATGTTGCTCTACATTTACATGGTCAAGAGAAAATTAAATCAGTTTCTTGACAAATGTGCAAATACATTTAAATATTTTAAAGTTAAATATGGCCTAAAAATATAGAGGGGGGTAAAAAGGTATGGTATGTAGGAATGCCATGTGTTTTATAACCCCCTTGTTTAGCATAAAATTTGTCACAATTTTCATTTAAGCAGACATATTTAACTTAACATAGACTGTTATGAAGGAAGTAACCAAGCTTCTTTCACCCTAGTTACCTGTTTTTCTGGGTCATTCACTTATAGTGTCATGTCACATGAGAAAAAGTTCTACAAAGTTGAACATACTATGTGAAAATAGACAATGATCTTTTCCATTTGGATGTCAGGTGACTACTCATGTATATAACCTTCCTTAGTTTTAATTGGGAATGACAACAGTCACAGGCCAGTGCAAATGCCTCAAGTATAATAGCATTATTGCTTTGTGCACATAATGGTATATTTTCTTGGTCTTGAATAGATACATACAAAGAGCTTTCTCCAGTAAAGGCATCATCCTTCATAAATACTCTTTTTGATTGTTTTTGTGGATTGAATAAAGATCAAATATATACTGAGCACAATGTCCTGTTGGTATAAGTCTGCAACAGGTAAAATATACTTGAAATTCGTTAAACACTTTTTTTGTTAGAAATTCATATTGGGCCAGTAAGGAAAGAAGTGATTAAATTTATGATCATTTTTATTGAGATGTAATTGTTGACCCAATTACCAACTATCTGATTATGCTTCACCACTTTGGAATCAGAGACCACGAGACTGTAACAATTAAAAAATAATTGTAATGTTTTTATTATTGCTGTGAATACATTTGCCTGTCCAATTTACCTGATTCAGTTGTTATTAAGGTTTTAGTTTTTTAATTTGTTTTTCTACAATGAAACTTCATTTATCCAAACACATTTGTGATGAGGTAGTTCTTCTGGATTATCAAGACATCCAACTAGTCGAATCAGCCATTTTGAATACAATGGATATTCTATTAACAGCATCTATTATCAATGAATGAACGTACGAGTGCAAACTATAAGAGTGGACATGCAACTGGTAGACAAAAATCAACTGCATTTAAATACACTTGTCAGTTTAATATTTTACTTGTTGCCAATAATTGTAAAAATTGCATAATCAAAGTCATACATTACGTCATTATCTTCACACAAATCCTTATTTTGTTCAAAAAATGACTCACTTATAAGATATTTCTAAATGTAGTTTCCTTGTATTAAGAAACATCATATTTTAATTATGCTAATATTTCTAAGCATCTTTGTTGTGGAGTACTGTGATTTGACAGTAGCATAAGTCGCTGTGATAACCTCTCAATATTTGTTAGAGTTTACATGTACATCCTTACTGTGAAGGTCATTCTCAGAAAAATTATCATAAATTGGTACCCACTTTGAGTGCATGTTTTTGTGGTGAGTAATTATCACCTCATTTGTCGTTGTTATCGACTCGAAAACATTTATAATTTACCGAATCATGTACTTATAGGCAATGCATGTTTGGATTTAGAACACAAACATACTGATTATTGATTAAATTTTTCATTGGGAAGATTTGTCTACATGAAAAATCATCCAGTTTGTTGATGTCCAAGCTAACAAGGGTTCACTGTAATGGGGAAACACCACATGTCAAACAATTGTTTGATGAATCATTCATACTTATAGTTTTATATGGCCTGGTGGTTAGGACACTTGAGTCACAATCTTACCATTTTAGCCATGGGAATGTTATAACATGAAGGCCAATCCCATGATTAGCTATCTATGCTGTACCCACCACACATATAAAATACCCAATTTTTTGCATAAGCCCTCAAGCTTAACCCCTGATACAAGGTGATGTTCATGTAAGAAATAAAAATATTTTTTCCATCATACATTCTACATATTGCATAACCTCTAGAAGTTCCAAAATGCATATCTACAGTTTTTTCAGTATCCCTGTATACTGTACCTGATATTTATTCTCTCCCTTACCATGAACTATTTCTAAATCAGCAGTGTAGGGTAAAATTAATAGTTGGTAACTGATACTAAATACATAATACCATGAGTGCACATAGCGTTAATAAATGCTTAAAAATTAAGTAAATAATAGAACTTTTAGAGCTTTTAAAACCATATGCACTTTAACATTTTTAATGATTTTATAAACAAAGCACAATTAATCAATGGAGAGAGAGAGAGCTTTAAGTAAATTGTAGTATTTTTTTTTTTCAGGTATTGATGACATTAGTATTGTAAGCATTTTTACATTATATTTTGAGTAGCCCCTCCTTTGCTACATTTACAACGATCCTTGAATGGTATGTCATGTTTGTTAGTAAATGCAATACATTTACACATTTCTTTTTCTCAGGATTTTTTAACTCAAGTTTGTATTTTTACAGATTCTAATAAAGAGAAACCTCACTGATATTTTATGTCAAGTAACTGCAAAAATCGTTCAGTGCAGTAGTTTCTAGAAATTCTTAGGAGTTAAATAACCTAATTATGAAAAAAACAAAACAAATAAATGAATAGGTCAACAATCAGTAATACAAACATCCTGATTTATATCTACATATGTATTTATCTATGTGTATAATTTCTGATAAACACTAGTAGCTTTCAAAAACAAGAAAACTGAAAAGCAACAATAATGTTTACATCCAGTCCTTCACGTATTTGTAGAAAAAATAACTTCAGCAACTTTCTGAAAATAACAAACTACAAGTGCTATATGTCTAATCTTTATACAAACAGAAAACCCATAAAGGTTCCAAAACAATTTAATTCAGAGGAGGAGAGCAAATGAAAAAATTTTTCAATACCTTTATAAATAAAACAATATCACTCAAAAGTTTGACAAAATGCAGTAAAGAAATAAAAAACTTTTTTTCTGTACTTTAAGAAGTTTATTATTGTATCACATTAAATATTTATAAACATTCAGTTTTAAAAAAATACTTGATGCAAACTGTAAAATTCAATGTATAATTCCAAAGCTGCAAAAGCACAATATGTCATTATACACCAGAAAACTTGAAGTATCATAAATGTGTGCTATAAATAACTTTTCAATTAAGGCTTTATATGTTGAAATCCAACTAGTCTGAAAAACTCTGGTGTTGACCAAAAGGCATCATAAGTAGCATACAGTACATTGAAATGTAGTGGAAATGTTACAATACACTCTTCTTACTAGAAACCCATATTTAGCCAGTAAGTAGGGATGCAATTAAAATTATTACCAGCCTTATTGTGAATGTTAAACACACCTGTTACCACCAAACAATAAAAATTATTTGAAGACTAAAAAAATAACGTGTAGAGTATGCACTTTTGGCTTTAATACAGTGAAGATACACGTGTTTCTACAATGTGAATCTAATGCTTTAATACAATGTAAATACAGGTGAGCTACAATATAAATGTACTGTTTTAAGTCACAGTAAATCAAATTTATATCTTTCCTTGAAACATAGCTAAGATTATTAATTCATAATATTGATTCTATTAATATTCTTTAACATGGCAGAAAGAAAACAAAAATAATACTGCTGGAATATATACCTGCAGTTGGCACATTTAAAATAAATGAATGAAATATTGTAAGAAGCTAAACTTTCATCATGATTCTAACGGAGCAAAAACAATTACTATCACTCTCCCTCTCTTCATTATAAACTAAAGTCTAAATTTCCTGTGTATGTGAAAGATCTTTATCACTTGAGCTTAACCACTTAACCTCAGATCCAAAAACGTTTCCTACTTTCATAGCCCAAGATATGATATGTCTTTATAAAATAAACATGCATATATTAGAATGCTTTTAATTTTATTTTGCAAAAACTATGTTTACCTGTTGTATTGAAAATTAAATTAATGAGACTGCAAAGTTACATTATACTAGACATTACAATATTTCAAAGTAGTTAATTCTTGAATCATAATCTATATAAAGGTTGGGAGTACACTCATTTTGAAAACTTTAATACTTGATTTACAATGAATTAGTCAAGTCACAGATTTCAGTAGTTTTCCAATATACTTTAAAGTAACTAACTTGGTACTCTGAACAGCAATAGACACAGAGTCCTATGACAACATGAACTATTCTATATCAAAATCTAATTTTAACTGCAAGAAAAAGCTCTTGGTAGTAAAATACTTTGATATGACGAATACATTAAAAAAATTACAAATATTGGTTTTTTTTACACACAAAACCGAGAACATCTATAAAACTATATCTATACTGGCAACATTATGGCTTGTTCTGGTCCCTTGAAAACTTTAAATGAAGAAGACAAAGTAGTCTATAAAATACATTCTTCCAACAGTTGTGCATCATAAAGGCTTAAAAATGATAGGATTCTTAAATTGTATATTTTGTACATTCTATCTGGTATAATAATTTAAAAATAGCAACTATATATATAGTGGTTCCTCAATGTTAGTAGTTTTGGATCAAACAACACTAGTCAAGAATTTGAATATAAAAACAAAACAATTATTCATTACGGAAAATTAATAAAGGCAAAAGGATTTTCTTAAGTTTCTGAAACTAGAATAAATAAGAGAAATGAAGCCCTTGCTACACCTCTGTGGATTTGTTATCGAGGTCTATTGTTATTATTAACCATCATCAACCACTCACCAACAACAAACTATACATTTATTTTTCTGTTTTTGATGCACAGTGGCTTCTAACCCCTATCTCAATAGAGTTTGTTTTTTTCTTGAAATCCTTTTTCTATCAGCCACATTACATCATAAAGGCTAAATATAAGCACTGTATGTACATTAATAAACCTAATGTAAATATAATACATAATTTAGATAATCAGTCACTGCTAAACTCATTATCAAAACCATACCTTCAAAACATTCTAGTTACAATGTGACTTTTATAATTTTAAAGTTAACAATATCAAATGCATAACATTCAATTAACTTATTCCCATCAATCTTCCTTCTAATACCTGAAAGTATATATAAAAACATGCAAGTTTCATTTGTGCAAATATAAAGTCATCCAATACTGTTATATATTTTACAGTTTTTCGTACTGTGACCTCTAGTTTGCATAAATAACAAAAGCTTGTAATATCTAGAGAAATTTCACCTGGCTTCCAAATAATATAGTATCTATTCTAAAGTGCTATCACACAACAGCATTCCAAACCCAGTGAGTTCATTATTATGCTTTCACAAACATATCAAACAATGTGTGTGTGCATGGCCCAATTCAGATTTGAAATCCTTTAAACCAAAGCTAGTAATATAATACTAAAATTCAAGATTAATAGAATTCTGCACATACAGGTAAAAAACACTCAAACACAAGCAAAACAAGTTTGGTATACTTTCTGTTTTTTACATGTCACAGTGTAGTAAATAAACAATATATACAATTGATCCAAAGTTTTGATTAAAATAATTAAAAAATAAACTTCAAGTTCAAACAATTTTTCTGGCATGCTTAAACCAATCTTTTGGTGATTTTTCTAGGTAATCTTTGTTGTTGTTTTTAATCACATATCATATTTGTTCTCTAAGAAGAACAAGGATTTTGCTTGAGATAATCAACACAAATTGCTGTTGCTAAACATAAGAAAAAGCACAAGTTCAAAAGTAAACACAATGAATTCCCATTTTAAAATATACATGAAGCATTTTACAAAAAAACAACAATAATAAAACAACTAAAGCAAACACAGCTTGTATCTGTTTAAAAATTATGTAAATGTGTCTATGAAGGAAGTACCTTATGTCTTACAGTTACAACATAAAAGAAAAACTGTCCTCTTTAACTACTCTACAAATTAATAACTTTTGTTTCTTTATTGTGGTGAAAGTTAGCCTGAAATTAATCTAAGCAAAGATCTAACATGACTACATACATTTTAATTATTACTGGGTATTTGATATTTACATGTTTTAAAAAAATTCATCTTAGAAATCCAACTCATCCATAGTTCTAGACAGTCTGACATTTTCTTGTTTTCTTCTCTGACTTCTCCTTACTGCATCAGCACGGCGATAAGGCTCATTCTTAAGGCCTATATTAAAATAAAATACAGAAACATTTTTTGAAAAACTCAGAGTAATATTTGGGACTATGTAATATTCTAGTCAGTAAGTTGTTATTTCCAGCAATATATAAAAAAAGAAAGGAAGGAAAAAAAATACAAGTGTATGATGAAAATCTAGAAGTTAGTAGCATATTCACTCAGAATTTACCCTAACATGAAATCATTCAAATGAATTTCCACACAAACTGCATGTGATTTAACACAGCTGCACTGTTCTAATACGACTCATTTTCCTATTAAAACAAATATTAAGTATTAAATATAAAAGTTTTTGTTATGAAATGAAAACCATGAATCTTGAAAATAAAGGTTTAAGATAAACCTGTACAGTGCATTACAAATAATTTAAACAGGGTCCCTCTTTTTCTAATTCCATGACATTGCATTACTTTTCACAAAATTCCATGACTTTCAAGGATTTCCAGAACCTGTACAAATCCTGTTAATACGCCTCCTTCTTTTGTCATATTTTGGCATTTCTCGTCACAAAAGCATACATATGTTTGAACTGTTCAATAAATCCTTTAAAAATCATATATGTTTTGTTTAACTCAATGATATGTTATATTAGTGCATGAAGCAAACCATTAGTTGTTCATGTGTTTCATATTCTTTCTTTAAAGTTACTATTATTAACACTATTGGTTCAAATCAATGTTTAATGTATCTTCTTTTATTTTATTTTTTTTATTATACACAGATTATTTTTCATTGTTAGCTCAGCATATGGATTTAGAACTAACCTAATTCTCCTAAGCAGCCCAGATCTCACAAAATACTCTTGGAATTAAGACCAAGAATATCACTAACAGTGAGGGTACCCATCTGATGAAACAATATATTCTAATCTTTATAAGTAAGAATGTACAAAAAGTATGTTTGACTAGCTATAGTCATTACTAAATTGACTTTTAGTTGTATGTAGATAGCTTGGTTTGATCAGAAGTCAGTGTACTTTAACCTTGTCTTGTGTGTGTTCTATTCTTTACTAGTTATTACGGTAGCACTGACCCTTAAAACTGGGCAAACGTACATGCTGAGGAAACACTGTTAAATACTTCTTTTAACTTTCAAGTTGAGCACAAAACAAAAGTATGATGTCACAATCTCTGAAAGTACACTTTCAGTCATACATGTCACATGCATAATTATTGCAGCAGGGATAAAGAAATACAAAACAAACTGTTTTAACACCATAACTTTACTTAGGAATGATAAAAACGTGAAAATTCATACAAATCTTCTTTGCGAACAGCCTCATAGTATGAATAAAGAACTTTTGCAAATTTTCTGCAATGTTAATGAGCTATGAGCAATTAATTTTAATTAATGCCTTTATTAATGGTAATTAGATTCATTTGGGGTAAATAGGGAGAAAAGATTCAGATTATGCTACCCAGGGGCACAGGTGGAGGATATAATTGACAGAGTAGGAGATATAATAAAGAGGGCTAGCAGAGATGCAATTTTTGGGGTGCACGTAGGGGCTAGCGTTATAGGGGAATGTAGGTCAGATGAGCTAATTAATAAGTACAAGGGGTTGATAAAGGCATTTAAAGAAAAAGGCCACAATCTGTCAGTGTTACATCCCCAGAATTAACTGTGGGGATGAAGTTATAAGTAAATCACTAGGGCTTAGGTTAGTACGTAATGATGAGCAGATTGGCTGGTTGGACTTGTGGGATCAGTTCACCAAAAAAAAAAAGAAGGTTTTTTGGAATAGATGGTTTACATTTAAATAGGGTAAGGGCTGGCTTGTTTGCTATAGCAACTAACTCAGCTGTAAGGGAAGATTTAAACTAGGACTTAGGCTTTAGATCATTTAGTGAGTTGTGCAAATAAATGGCAAATGGGTTTTAATTATAATAAATGCAAGATAATGCATGTGGGTTATCATAATGTGAATTATAAGTATAAATTGCACGGAAATAACCTTCATAGTGTTATGAAGGCAAGGGATCTTGGTGTAATAGTCAATCAGTCTCTGAAACCATCCAAGCAGTGTGCTGTTGCTAGTGGTAGGGTAAATAGGATTCAAGGTTGTATCTACAAAAATACTGAATACAAGTCTAAAGAGGTTATAATTTCAATGTAAAGGTCACTGGTTAGGCCACATTTGGATTACTGTGATCAGTCTTGAGCTCCTTACCTTAGGAAGGACATTGAATTGTTGGAAAAGGTTCAGAGAAGAGTTACTAGAATAATGCCTTGGATGGAGGGGTTGTCATACGAGGAGAGGTTGAAATCTCTCAAATTATTTTCTCTTGAAAAAAGAAGAGTTGGGGGGATCTGATTAAGGTGTATAAAGATTGTAAAGGGAATTCATAGTGTTTGATGCTTAATCTTTTTTCATACTTAACAGTGAGAATAGTAGGTTTGTTTGTTTTAATTATGCACAAAGCTACACAAGGACTATCTGTGCTCTGCCCACCACGGGTATCGAAACACGGTTTCTAGTGTTGTAAGTCCACAGACATACCGCTGTGCCACTGTGGGGCGAGAATAGTAGGATAGGGGACACAAATATAAACTTTGGCAGAGTAGGAGTCATCTTCAATTAAGGCAGTTTTATTTTTCTAACAGGGTGGTTGGCTTTTGGAATGGGTTGCCTTTGGATGTTGTGGAGGCAGTAAATTTAAGTGAGTTTAAGAAAAGGCTTGATAGATATATGAATGATAAGGACTGGCTTTAAGATTTTTTTTTTAAATTTATTTATTAATAGTTTTAATTTAGTTTAGAGGATGGAACAGCCAAGATGGACCAATAGATCCCATGTTGTTATAACATAAAATAATGTTTAGGAACAAGACAATTGGTAAAGATTTTTTGAATTAAAAAAAATTCAAGCTGTGAAGAGTATAATTATTAACAAGTGTACTCAATTTCATGCTGATATTGGCTTTAATGGTGAAGTTGTCATGCTAATAATAATAATAATAATATACTGGTGACTCCAGTGACAAGTTAGCATGATAAATTCACCATTAAAGCCAATATCAGCATGAAATTTAGCATACTTGTTAATATTACACTCTTCATAGTTTGAAAAATTTGTAAAGTTTTTAATTCAAGTTATAAGGATGTTCATAAAGAGGATGTGTATCAATTTTCATGTTTCTATCATTCCTAAGTAAAGTTATGGTGTTAAAACAGTTTTATGTTATGTATTTCTTTATTCCTGTTGCATTAATTACACATATGACATATGTGACTGAAAGTGTATTTTCAGAAACTGCAACATCATACTTTTGTTTTGTACTCAACTTGAAGGTTATAAAAAGTGTTTAAATGTTTCTTCAGCATATAAATTTGCCAAGTTTTAAGAATCAGTGTCTTAAAGCAGCTTTAAGAATCTCATTTTGATACCAACTATGACTAATCACATTTGGAAACATATGCATAATAAAGACGTACAGGCAAAATGTTTTAAAGTTGTTTATGACTAGTTCTAATTTATTACCATTGGTATTAAATTTTCAGGGCCTGACATGGCCTAGTGGTTAGAGTTCTCAACTCACAATCTGAGGGTTACAAGTTTGAATCCCTAATGCTGAACATGCTCATCCTATATGGTGTAAAAATTCTTGGTTTAGAAAAATACTGGCTGACCCCAAGCTAGTTAGGATCAAGGTCATTATGGAAAAGAAGTATTTCATTGTCAAAAATTTATGTTGGCAACAATTATTCTGTGTGCTAATCAAAAGAACTTATTTTTAATGGTTAAAATGTAAAATGTATTTGAATAATCCAAAGCATAAGTATAGTATAAATGTATGCTTTATATGTTAAAATAACATTCTATAAATTATCTTGTGCTATAAATTATCCAGCAAGTTCTGATGATACTCTATACATATATATAACCAGTGTCCCAGTGAAACAAAGACATATTCATTAGAACTAATACAAACATTAATATTTTATGAATGATCTAGTCCTATGTGCTCTCAGTAAAAAATGCAGCTAAATGTTGATTAGTACATCAAAGTCACCTTTTAAAGGGAAAAGTTAAAACTCACCTAAGAGTATGTCCTCTAGTGCTCCATTATAAACTTCATCTTGCTTTAACAGCCTTTTTTCTTTAACTTGCCGTGCTTTGTTCTTCAATTCATTAATTACAGCATCCTAACAAACAGTTGGAAGAATGTTTCATATTATGGAATAATAAAATGAAATCAGAATTCAAAGGATTAATTGAATGAATGGAATTAAAGGAAAACATAATATATAAATATATTTGTTTTCAGTTTTTATAAAAAATTTATCCCTAAACATTATTACAAGTTACAGTTCTTACAATAAGAAAGAATATTTTTTAAATTGGTAAAATGTTTCAATCATTCTCAAATACCCAAGATGGAAGATTTTGATGTAAAAGTCTTAATTTATAATAAAATAATGCTTATAATTATTATGTAAACTCAAAATGAAGTTTTTAAATGAATACAAATTTTGTAATACTTAAAATAAAAATTAAGTTTTAATCAAAATTCTATATACAAATCACTATTTTGTGATTGATGTACTAAAATCTTACTATACAAAAATATTTCCTAAGCCAACAAAATATATACTACTATTCCATTTAAATTAATCTTTTTACAGTAAATTTCACCTGTGTGTTTTTTCTTGCGTTTAAATAATTCTTCTTTTTTACATTTTCCAGAGGATTTTGCTCTGCTTCTTTTGCAGCTTGTTCCTGTTTCCTCCTTAGCTCATTTTCTTGTTCAGCTTGCTGCAGTGAAATTAATATAAAATGTAACTACTTGTTAGAATTGAATTATTACCTGAATGTTTCTGATAAAGTATTGGTAATCAGATAAAATATTATTTTGAGTTCATTATAAATTTCAAGTTGTTCACATATTACTAAAGATGGAAATAATTTGAAATATGCAGAGTTTTCTGTATCATAACATTTTATGTGTCTTACACTAGATTTCAACAAATATAAATTTAACATCAATTTACTGTTTTTGAATATTTATTAATGAATAATATTAACTTATCTAGTTGATGTTTTGAAGCTTATTTACTATCTAGTTAAGGTATTATAATTCATGAGCAAATTATTTAATATCTCATTACTATAAAAGTGTAACATTTTAAACTTTAATCTCTCAGATTTATACTAGGAACAAACTGCATATGATTAGACCTACACTGTTCTAATACATGACTTGTCTTTGTACGAAAACAAACAGTAAGCTGACAAACTTATTGGAAATGGAAACTGAAATGGAAACCAAGAACCTTAATATGCCTTTAATTCATCCACAAAAGTTTTCATTTACAACTTCTCAGTGTATGTAAATAAAAAAAATTAAAATATTAAGAAATTTAGAATCAGAATATCAAAATATATATAAACTATTCAGAAATTGCTAGTGATGTTGAATTGTGTTTTGAATATATCTAAGCAAGACAAATGTAAGCTCTAAAGCTGATTTTATGAAGCTTACACAAATATTGTTAAAATAGCTTTTAGAGTAAACAGCAATAAAACTTACTTTAAATGCCTTTGAAAATCGAACAAACAAAGAGAAAAATGTGTTCGCAGCAACAGTTCGAGCACTTTCACCAAAATACTCCACACAATCAGAAAAGGCTTCCTGATGATAAAGTGGAAAAAAAGAAAGCAAAATTTGAAATTTCTGCTGCTCTTGAATCAAACTTCACTCATTTTCAATCACATTCCACCATAAAAATAAAAAACAAATAGAAAACAAAAATGTAGATTTCATGCTAGATTGGTTTTCTTGAGTCAAAAGGTATTAGAAACAAAAGATGGTCTTTTAAAAATATTTTTTGTTTATTGCAGACACTCTGCAATGGTCTCTAATGTTCAGAAACTGTGAAAACAAATGTGCATAAATAAAAACCAAAACTCATCTCAATGTTAATCCTGCAGATATAAAGTTGAAAATCAGTGTCTGATTACAAAATACTATTAAATGCATAACCTCTTGCAAGTTCTAACATCAAGATATTTAATTACAATGTTTATACTATTATTCATTTAGTCTACTACCAATTCATACACTATCTTTAACAACCTGGAATACGCAAGATATTTGTACTATGTCAATTTTGTTATATTATTAAATACTAGTTCCTCAATCAGTCCTTTTAAGGATCAAATTTTTAAATAATAGTCTGCTTTCATTTTGTGCATCTGTTTCTTTAATTCTTAACAGAACAGCCTTGTTTTCTCAACAAAGTGCAAATCTAGCCTAAAGTCTTCGTGGTGTAAAATCTTGAGTATATACAAAAATGTAATTTTGGAAAGCATGAAAATATCATAAGAAAATAATATTATAATTCATGCATCCTGACTTCTTCATTCAGGTGTCAAGAAAATAATACTTTGAAAATTAAAAAAAAAAATTTATGCACACAAAAATCGAAAGTAAAATTATAGTCTATTAAAACAAAGAAATTATTTTATACAGTGCCATCAGCACATTTTTAATAACTAATAAAGCTGGGATACTGATATGAAATTGTAACAGGTTCTTTTATTATTTTATTTTGATAATATTTCTAATAAAATTTATCAAATAACTCAACATTATGGAAAAACTTTTTTTAGTCTAACAACATGCTATTTGTTTTTTTAGGAATTTCTAATATGCTCCAATAAAAAATCTTTAAAGGTACATGTGTGTGTGTGTGTGTGTGTGCTTGTTTACAAGCATGTCAATTAGTTGAACTGTAAACTTGGTCACTGTCTAGAGTGACATAAATTTAGCACTTGTGATTTTATTGCTTATGCTTTGGACTGATCAAATAATTTTATATTTTTGTAATCTAATAAAGAATGTCATTTACTAAAACATAATACCACAAATATCAATGAATAATTTAAAACTGCTGAACTAGCAGCAAAAATGTGACTACATGACATTTTAGCTTAATTCAATATTCTGATATAAAGACTCAACTCTCCTTACTACACACAGAAAATAAGTTCTTTACTGTCTTATCATTAAACAGTCTGTCACCTGGTTGTACATCAGTGTTTTTAACTATTTTATAATTAGTAGAAAAAAAATGTTTTCAAACTGAAACTAATGTTTACCAACTACCAAAAAAAAAGTCAAACTATTTAAAAATTGTATTACAAAATAATATTATAACTATAATATACAACATATCACCATTCACATTCTAGTAATTAACACAAAGTTAAGAAAAACATGAAGTCAGAGATGAAATGAGTAAAAAATTGATACCACAAATATATACTACAATACACAAAAAAGTAACATAAACAGTATTAAATTATGATTTTAATTACTGGTCTTCTTCTTCAAAAAAAAAACAACAACAAAAAACAAAGCATTTACTAGAATGTGTATGATTGTAAATATTACAAAATACTCCAAAGAAAAAGCATGAAAATGTTCCCTCTTTATTTCTCTTGGTTAAGTGAGAAATTCTTGGGTTATTAGCCACATCACTGAAATTGTCATTCCACATTTTCCTTATACATCTATCACATGACTGTTCACTTACAACACATTTTAAGAACAAAGAAGGGTAGGTATGAGAGAAGAAGCTCATCTCCATTTTAATTATATCAGCTTTAAAATAACAGTATTTTTACTTCATGAATGAATTTGTGTTTTTAAGCATGAAAGACATATCTTACTTAACATATGAAAGTAGTAAAAGGAAATCAAAAATAAAACTAAAAATAAATGTGCATCCAACTAACTTGTGCTGTTTTTGTATTGGCCTTTAATCTCCTTAGTTTTTCTTCATTATTCCCAAGAAACTCTCTCAAAACAGCAGCATCCTTCGCATCACCACGAAGAGCCAGTTCCTTCTTACATAGGTCCAGTCCTTTCTCTAATTCACTAACGTCTATAAGAATGTTCTCTAGAGAGACTGAGAAAGAAAGAAATGCATTACAACTTATACCTGTTCTTCCATCTTTGGCAGATATTTCAGGAAGTTTATCTTCCAACAAATTCTTGCTCACATTTTACAAAGAGATTTTCCAGTTCTTTAAACATGTGTATAGCCACCCACATGACTGAACTGGTGCAAGCTATTGGTAAACCACCTAATATACAAACATTTAGAAACTTAGCAAAGGTTCTCGGCTAATCAACTGATGGCTGCTAAACCGGGTGAAGACAAGCTAATGGTTGAAGCTGGAGGATTTAGTGATTGGCAGACAAGTAAAACTAAGAACAGCCATGATACGAGTCAATTGTATTTAACACAGGAAAAAGGAGCTAAAGAAGTGATGCTTCACATTCAGCATGCCAGCTTTTTATTTGTTCACATACTAGTTATTAGTGACACACATGTCCACACTTGACTTATTCATTTGTTCTCGGTTTAATGCTGAACTTTGGTTCAGTTCCTGCACAAAGAGGCAATACTGCTTCATCCTAGTACACGCCCTCTCAATAACAAAGGATATAAGAAGAAATCTATTAGCATTTCATACCATCAGTGTCTGTATCTCCACAAGATAGTTCAATGGTATTGGTTAAAAGGCTGCATTGAAAATCTTCAAAAATCATCCATACCCATTTTTTGCATTAATTAGATATTGGTTCCAAGTTTTCTGATTCTACACTAAAGTCTGCTAAAAATTCGTCTGCTGATAATATATACAAGTTGAGATGTGTTCTCTTTCAAAAGTTAAGAGAAGAACAAAGATAATTGTTCCAAGTTTTCAAATTCTACTCTGAAGTCTGCCAAAAATTTTGTCTGCAGATAATATATACAAGTTGAGATGTGTTCTCTTTCAAATAGTTAAGAGAAGAACAAACAATCTGCCACCTACTAAAGACTCTCTGTATGAACATAAAAAGAGGACCAATTATCAAACTTTGATTTGGAAATAGTCATTACTTTGTTATCCATCCATACCATCATTTAAAGCTATGAGTGGAAATTAGTTGAAAATGTATTTCAGCCTGTACTTACAAGTTTACCATGTACATCTTCAAAATTCACTAAACTCACTTCTTGTTGTTGTTGTAAGTTAAGATGTCAAAGTGATGCTCAAGTAAGGCATATAATCTAGTATTCACAAGTGCATGGAATCATGCAAAAATGTGATGGGTTCCTTGGAAGGAAATGATAGTAGTGATGAAAACTGAAAAAATAGTAGACTATAGGGATACTTATGTAACTATCTTCAGTTTAGATAAATATTAACATGAAGTTTGAAAGTAGAAATAACTTTTAGTCTTGACATCATAAAATTCTTTCAAACTTGACCAAAATTTTAGCTTTTTTTTCTTATACTTTCAAAATAAAGCCATTTTTGAATTAATTATATGACAAGATACAATTTATATACAGAAGAACTTGACCAAAATTTTAGCTTTTTTTCCTTATACTTTCAAAATAAAGTCATTTTTGAATTAATTATATGACAAGATACAATTTATATACAGAAGAACTGCTGAAAGTAACTGATGGTAACCATGATTTTTCTTCATGTTCAAGCTATCAAGAGAAAACAAACTAACATTGTGTGCTCCAGGGCCCTCAGCAGAATTGAAAAACCTCTAAGATCTACAAGTTTACCACAGTGTTTGTTTCTTATTTTTTCTGATCAGTGAACCAAAATTTTAAGGCACTTTTGGCAAACAACCATCAGTCTATATTTTTTATAACTAGATGTTTGCTCTGATGAACAATCAGAAAAGTATTTTAATGATGCTAAAGTGCTTTCAAATTACTCTGAAAAAGTTGAAAACTAAAAGTGAGTATATTCTATTACTAAATCTTTTATGTTTGTGGTTAGATATTAAACAAATTTAGACTTGTCAGGTCAAGTATATTAGCCATCTATTTCCCAAAGTAAAAAGAAATACTTTTTCAAAAAATATAATTTATTATATTCTACGAAGTATATACCTCCGGCAGCTTTCTCTACAAATCGAAGTTCACATTCAAAATTGACTACATCTGGAAAATGATGCTGGACAGTATCCACTATGTAATGAAGTAAAGAAATCTTTCGATCTGCTGATTTTGCATCTCCTAGCTAAGAAGATAAAAAATTACATGTAGATTTAAAATATACTCAGTGTTTGGAATATTAAGAATCATTTACATTTGGTTTAACTATAGATAAGATGCACTGGTACTGGATTTATATTATAAAAACGTACTTGTAATATTTTCCTATTTTTTGGTGCAATGCATTACAGAAGCATTGTATAATCTTATCATTGACCAATCACATTATTGTGTTTACCAAAGCATTTTCTTGATATTAAACTAAGAAAAAAAAAATGATATTTCAGATCCAAAGTGAATCGATGACTTTTCTCTCTAAACTCAACTTAAGTATGCATTTGTATCTTCTGGTTTCACAGAACTCTACAAAAAAAAAAACGAATTGAACAAATTATGAACCCAGGAACATGACATTATTAAATGCACTTCTCAAACATCTTAAATCTCTGCCAATGTATCATGTTTCTAATTTCTTAATTAAATACTGGTAGCATGTTACTTTAAACTTTGAAAAAAACTACTAGACTCAATGCTATTGTAGAAATAATGTTTTTATTAACCATTTTCAGACCAGGAGATTGTCAATGACATCCCTTGATTTTTTAACTTCCCACAGAGGAAATACTTAACCAAACTGCATATATTTTTGTAAAAACTTACCAAATAGTATCTAGTCCCAACTTTTAAAAAATAATACAATTTGATTTACTTTTCATATAATTTTTAACATTATGAAATTTCCAAAATCCTGTTGACATAGCTATGGAAAAACTTTGAAAATACTTTCTTTTGTCATGGAAATTAATTTTTATCTATTGTTGATCATAATGTTCCATTTTATATAAACAATCCACTGGCAGATTCAGACCAAAAGTGAGGCACTTAAAACAAAAAATGTTTACCACCAGTACATTTTAACATTTCTTTTCAATAAACTTATTTTCTTCTCAGTAAACCAACAACAAAATTCACCAATGAATAATGAAATTTAAAAATTAATATCATAATAAATACATTAAACGTGAAACTGGTTTTCTTCAACTTTATCTTATAGACATTTATCAGCAACACATGAAGAACATATTACCTTAAAATGACCTGAGTATACAAAATATGAGCATGACCAAGATGAAATACTTAAAATAACAAAATCAGCATCGAAAACCTTTCTCGACTTTTCTTTTTCAATTTTCTCCAGAGGGTGCAGGTGGGAGGAATGTGACCCTCTCTGGATAATGTTATGCAATCAGTTTCAACTTTATTGATATTCACTAACACATTTCTTTCATTACTTTATTTTGTCAATTACAGTAGTCACTACTTCCAACTATGAATTAAAAAAAAAAAACATGGAGAAAACATAATAATTTTTCATTGAACTATGACCTGACTTGTTACAATGATGACAGGTCAGGCAAAATAATAAAAAATTCCCACATCTGTGGTGTTTTCTTAAGTCTTCTAAACTTCCCACTAAAATCCACTGTTTTTCTCTGTACGAGATACATCTTATCATTTTAACACAAAACCATAAAGTACTTCTCGCACCACTTTATTCACCTGACATAAATACTTTATAATCTGTTATATCTAATGGAACTTTGCCTATAGCTATTTTCAAAGTGGAACTTTTTTTTTATCAATTATTCATATCACTTACTGTGAAGTCATAAAAGGGTGGGAATGAGAGGCTGTACTAATAAAATCAGAGAAAGAGTAAAAGAAAAATCATGTTAGAGACAAAACCTCAAGAATTATATTTTCAAGAAATGATGGTTTCTTACCAAATATAAATGTATTCTTTGGATTAGCAGAAAAAAATCTTAGAAAAATTCAATAAATGAATATTTTACACGTAAGACTCCTCAGAGATGTGCAGAATCATATGTTTGAATATTTCTACATTAAATAAATGTTATAAAATACAATTTATTACCTTTAAATCAAATTTTGAAATGGGTTTACAAGTGTTCACTTAATATCCGAAAGGTTATCACCAGTCTGGACAGAATTAATTTAAACTAAGTTATTTTTCTAAAATATGGAATATAATAACAATGTCAAATAACAATAAATTAGCGTATTCCTTACCTGACTGATTCAAATTCTACATTATTCCAATGTATAAATGTAAATTGTATTACATATAACAGTTTTCTATAAAACAATTTTGATATTTCTTGGAGTACATGTACAATTTAAAATGATTATACTAATTAAAATATTTCGAAATGTTAAGACTTACCATATCTAAGCTCTGTAGTTTAAACCCATAAGCTGGTCCTCTCTTAGCTCCATTCATATAATTACCAAAGGCTAGAATGATCTTTAAAAAAAGATTAATTTTGAATTAATTAGAAAATTAAAATATACATATACAAGCAACAAACTGATATCACAGGAATAAAAATATTATGCTATAAAAAAACCCACAAAATACACATAAAATGATGCCATGTTTGGTAAAATCCACTACCAGAGAAAGCAGAAAATACTCACCTCTAGCATTTTCCTTATCTTCTTTGAATTCTTTATTGACCTTGAAGCTGTGATGATGGAATGAACTTGCTGGAAAATGAAATAATTACAAATTACAAGTGACATATTTTGGAAAAATATAGCTTTAGACCTTTTGCTGTATTCTGCATTCTATGGCATGCTATCTGTTTGTATGTGACTGTTCTGCCAATGAATCTATGATGCATATTATCTTTCTCTCCTTATGTCCCTACACAAATGTTTTTGCCTTGCTATGCATATAACTATTTGCAATGGAATCTATGAATTTTCTAGTGGTTATATGTTATGTTGTGTAGACCACATGATAAAAGTCATGTGAATGCTGCACATCTTCAGCAGGATAAAACTCTTGGATAGATGTTTTGGGATAAATACTGGGGCCTCTCTGAGATTTTATGCTTTACTTCTGCAGCTTTATGTTGCTGCTTTGCCACAACAAACTTGAAAAACAAAACAAAATGAAACAGGATCAACAACTGTTATAATGTGAATGGCTTTTCTAAACTGGTTAAGCATGATAATTAATTACATTTGTCAAATTAAAGAAATTAGTACCGACTTATTATAATTCTTAACACTAAATTCTTTATTAAGTCCCTTAGGGTTTTTCAAGAAGAAGTGTTTATAATAGTATTTTAATCACACTGTGGCAGACATAACTATTGATGACAACAAGAGCTCATCAGGCCAGCTTAAAAAAAGGCATTCACACCATAAAAACTATATTGTAACAAATGGCTTATCTTTTTCAGCACAGGCTCGGTACCTGGGAGTGACCTCGTAACCATTTTGTGCTTATTATAATTTTCATGCTATAACTTTTAAATTAGTAAGCGTATGTCCACGAAATTTTGCATATTATCAGTAAACATTACAAGGCTTTCATATGCAAAATATCAGATTTTTTTATTATTAAGTCCTAAGGTTTGTTAAGCAATGTTTTACTCAGGCCTTTTTTCTATTTGCATGTTGCCTATCCAACATGCAAAGTAATTTTCATGTTAAGATTAAAAATACTTTTATGCATCAGAAAAATTTCAAACTTCACATGTGAAATCTTTATAGTGTCCAGATAATTATCAAAAGTTTCTTAAGAAAAAAAAGCTTTATATTTTATCTGTTATTTTCATTGACAAATCTCTGTATGGGTTTGGTTGATTTGACTGATCTCGTAACCCCATTAGTTATGCTTTTTTCGTTCTAGAATGACTACAAATTATAACATGAAAACACAAATTTTTAGACTAAATATCTTATATCTCATAAACTTACACATTTATTTATATATATATAGCATTTCAGCCATGCCTGGCTAACAATACAGAAGATGATTGCATTAATTCTGAGCTGGTTAAGAAAAAATTGTAAAGTTGAAAAATGAAAAGAATCTTGGGCCAGATAATATTTCCCCAAGCATTTTGAAGGAGGTTAAAGATTGGATATGTGAGCCACTTGCTACTATTTTTTGTTAGTTCTT